CTGCCGGACTTCACAGGCAGCTTCAATGTGCTTTTCATATAAAGTCACAACATTCTGAACAACTGGAACTTTTCCATCACTTTTAAAATAAAGTTTTTCAGCTTAGTTTGTAGAGAATTGAATTCTGTATCTGATGTCAGCTTCAAATGTTTTAAGAAATTCTGTCTGGAGGACTAAAAGTGGCATTTACTCAAAACATTTGTCCCTTCGAAATCACAGTCCTTCAATTGATGCGGGCTTTAAACGATCAGTTTCTACTTCAAAAGAATGAAAAATTATGTGATTTTATTCAGTTTTTATCAGGCTTCTGAATGAAATGTGGCTCAAAACAGCTCCGTGATTAGATGTAATTAGAGAAGAAATATGTTTCAAATTAAAATTTGGTCAATACGTGGTCAAAGGAGGAATTAAAACGAGCTTTAGTTGTCTGAAATAATATCTACTTCAAAAGATGAATGAACCAAAAAACAAACGAAAAACTCAATCACAATCCCTTTTGCCGAAAATCTACTGAAGATTTTCTCAGCTGATGAAGATTTTGAACCTGATGAATTGAAATCCGATCTGTTGCCATCACAGCAACCAAAAAGTATATGTCAATTTTTCACACGTGATCGCTCTTTTGCAAGACACCCGATCGACTGAAGAAGTCTCTCTTAAGCTTTCCTGGACGAGGTATGGCATCATTCAACAAAAATTTGTGGAAGGTGGGAAAAGCGGACTGTCTATACCATTGAACAAGGTCAATGAGAGACTCACCGTTTTGTTTGCAGAAGCACATACTATATGAGCACCACTGAATTTGAGCTAACTAAAGAAGAAAAAGAAAACACTGGAACTTTTTGCCAGTTCTTGCCCTTTCCGTGTCGAATTCTTACAAGATGCTTAACTGAACCTTATCTACTTTTATCAAATCCTTGTCACTTTCGTGCGGACTTCTTATGTAAGAATTCAGTAAGAATCTAATAAGATTCGTACAAGTCATAGCGGATTCTTGTAAGTTTCTGACCAGATTTCTGTCAGATTCTTTTGTCGATCTCTTCTTTTGAATCGATCACTAGGGTATTAAGTCGTTTTGTTGGTTCAATACTATTATTTACTTCTATAATTAGTTTAATATTTAATATTCGTTTTTTATGTTTTGGTCATTTAATCATAAATATTTTTATTCACGTCATTATGCCATGATAATGAGTACGTTGGCAAGTTCACAACTGAGGTTCAATCTGATAATAAGCTGTCGTTCCTGGATGTAATGGTGGAGAGGAAAAGTAATGAACTGATTACCTATGTCTATCGCTAGCCTACGCATACTATATTATATTTGAAATGGACGAGTAATCAGCCGAGAAACTACAAAATTAACGTCATTAATTGTCTGTGTACTCGTGCAAAAGCAATTTGCTCGTTCAAAGACGATTCAGAGTATCATGCTGAATAAGAACTATTATAATAATAAAAAAACCTTCCTGTTCTAAATAAAAAACAATTTTACTACTCTTTGCCTTATTATGGAGAGTGTTCGATGTTTTAGTTAACCAGTTGAAAAAACTGATTTCACATCCTTTGGTTTCAAGGGTGGACACACCTTGTCATCTGTTTTTGGAAAAACATTTCGTAATACGGTAAATATAAAAAGAGTAGTGTATAAATATGACTGTTGTGAATGTACAAACAGTTATATTGGGCATAAAGAGGCTTTCCAAGGTATTTGATTCTCAAGGATTACTAACTACACCATTCGATAGAGTTTTTCAAGCTAATCACGTAGTATAGTTTTCAGTTTTTCGAAACGAAAAAACTAGTATTAGATCTATTTCAGCGACTGAAAACTACACTACGTGATCAACTCGAAAAGCTCTATCGAATGATGTATAATGGATTAAGAAAAAAGTCTGTTTTTGTATTATTTGAGCCTTAATTTACTCTGAAACGATATAAAGGAGCTCGGTTAATTTTATTTTTGTGGCTTAAAAAGAGAAATGAGCTTGGTAATTATTTTATGAAAATTAATTAACGATTTTAGGAAAGTATATACTTTTAATAAGAAAAAAATAGTTCAAGAACAAAAAAAGTGCCAGATTACAATAGTTTTTTACTAATATTCACTCTTTTGTTAAAGTTAATTTAACTTTCTTGGGACTCTTTTTCCCTTCTTATCCCTTGTTCTACACTTTGCCACTGACAAATCATTAGCTAATTTTCATAAATTAATTACCGAACTCGTTTTTCTCTTTTTATCAACAAAAATAAAATTTAACCGAGCTCATTTATAGCTTTTTAGAGTACAGATCACAATTTCGGGGCTTAAAACTCTCATTTATATAAATAAAATATAATTTTATTACAACCAAGCTCATTTCTCTCTTTACAAAGCCAATTAAACACACCGAGCTCAAATATTCCTTTTTCCGAAGTCATTTAATTTCGCGTCTGTGTATAAATCATTTCAACTGGCAGATAAAATTTAATTTAAACAGTTTATTTCGACAAGAAATTAAAAAGCGTACAACGAGTACTAATGATCCCCTAGAGTGTTACAAAGCATTTCAAATAATAGCAATATATATAGGGTAACAACAAGAGTGTCCTGTCAATCCGTCACTAATTGGTAAGGTAAGATTAAACAACATCAGAAGTGAGAGTGAGTAATTAGGGACAGATGGAGAATAAACCAACGACAAGAGAAAAGAATGATAGGTCAACTTATAACTAAAATACGTAACAATTATTAATTTTTGGTTTATATATTGCTTTTAAATGCTTACTGCTGCTGCTGTGTGTATGATTGAGAAAACAATGAAACGTTTTTTGTAAGGCTATTTCGCTTTCTTAAATACGTTTGATGAATAAAATCAGTCATCAAATTGTAGATATCTACCATATGAATAGGCTGAACAATATCACGTTTGAGAAGCAGGAGCATAGGGAGACTGACTATAACATAAGGTAAAAGACCTTGTAATTTTGTGAAAAAGAAAATCTCGTTCAGTTTTGTAAAGATAAGCATTACATAAGGCTGATAAAATATATAATTGCTGTACATACATGTACATTATCTTCAGAAAACTAAGCTTTAAATAGAAAAATCTCATGGTTTTAATCACTTTTGTCGATGACATTTGTTTAAATTATAAATTAAGATTAGAATTTGATGTGAGCCCATGCGATCTCAAGCAGTTGCATTTTTCTGGGAATCACATGTTAATTTGTGCTTATCCAAGTTTGTGAAATGTAAACAAGTTCCTCTGTCTTCATCCTTAAAGTTGCTATATCAAAAAAAAACTAAAAAGTTAATGAGAAAACGAAATCTTGCGTATAAACAACATCGGAAAAATCTTGCTGATGAAGAAAGTCTTTTAAAATTCAAACTTTCGCGAAATACTGTTCTTTCGTCTTTACGAAATGACAAGAAAACAACTTTCTCTTCTATTTGTCGCTCATTTTCAGATCCTTCCAAGTTCTGGTCGTTTTTAAATAGATACAGAACATCTAAACAAAATACTTGTCAATTCATTTCTGACAGTGATGGAATTTCTTCTTCTCCTTCTGAGACCTGTCAAGAATTTAATAAATTTTTTAAACTCATGTTATACTAATTACAACGGACCGCTGCCGTCTCCGCGTATCATTTATTCTAGTCAAACTCTAAATTCTATCGTAATAACTGAAGAATTAGTCTCAGAGGCTATTAGGAAGTTACGTACTACTTCTAGTGTAGGCGCTGACGATATTCCTGTTCATTTCTTCAAACTTTGTACGTCACTCATCTCTAAATAGTTGACTTATCTTTTTCAACTTTCATTTGATAAAGAAACCTTTCTTGATAAATGGAAAACATCTTTAGTTACTCCCATCCATAAAAAAGGACCTGTTGGTTCTGTAGATAACTATAGGCCAATTTCTCTTCTGAATACTGTGAGTAAAGTTCTTGAGAGAGTCATCCACAAAGAACTCCTTGATCATCATTTGACTAACCAACTTTTGTCTGCAAATCAGTTCGGTTTCAGACCGAATGCTTCGACCACCGATACTTTACTATATGTCACGAACAGATTATTTGACAGTGCCTCTACTAACAAAATCAGTATTGGTGTGAGTGTCGACCTAGCTAAGGCTTTCGGTCACGGACCGCACCTAGTTTTAATACAAAAACTGTAATCCGTTGGTGTAGACGATAAACTTTTAAAATGGTTTAAATCTTACCTAAAGGGTCGTTCCCAATATGTAAAAATAGGAACGACTCTTTCTAACGTAGCATATATTCTTTCTGATGTGCCTCAGGGGTCTATTTTGCGTCCCCTGCTCTTCCTCATTTTTATTAATGATCTCTCTCTTCCTACTTCATCATCAGTCCCGTATAGTTTGTTAGCTGATGACCTGTATTTGATCTGTACATTCGACAAACAAGAAAGTTTGAATACGGTTAACCAATTTGTTCAACTGAAATAGATCGTTGTCAGAGAGCCAGATAAAGTATGTCTGGAAACTCTCTGCTTGAAGTGAAATCACACACGTCAATACTCTATCTTTATTTTAAAAACCAAAAACGGAGAAAAACGTGCGTGTGAACGGTGTGATTTTATCTCCCCTTCAAAACGTTACATATATATATATGCGAGTACAATGGAAAAGAAAGAGAAAGTATTGGACGTCCAGCAGATAGTAAAATAACAGTTATCATTTACTAAAAAAAGAAAAGTATCCGGCAACAACGAGAGAGAGGATAACGAATTTCTTGTTATATTTTTTTATATTGGTTACGATATGTTGTATGTGGTTATCCGAACGTTGTTGTTCACGTATATCCTCTGTAAATGGAATAATCATATTATCATCGATCTTTACTGTTGCTTGCTGCTTATTTTTATTGTCTGTCTCTTCATCTGGTACATGAAGAGCTATTTTTGGTGTAATTTTCGTTTGTCCTGGCTCCGTACATGAGAAGCTTTACTCTGTATTTTGTTTGCTTGAGCACGAGTTGTTACAGCCGCCACAATTTATGGTGTTGACGTGTCCATCACAATAATGTCTTCTGTTTGTGTTGCCGTTGATATCAATTGAACATAATCATCCGGATCTTCGTCACTCTGATCGACGGGAGATCTGGACAAATAATCAGGCATTGCATTACCGTCTCCTCTAATATGATCAATTGTGTGACGATATTGTTGTAGTTTCAGTCGCCAACGCTCACATTTCGTGCTCTTCTGTGCTCTTTTATTCAATGCTTTTAATGGATTGTGATCCGTTTGAATTTGAAATTCAACGCCATCTACATATTGATGCCATTGTTCAATCGCCTTCAATATCGCATAACATTCTTGTTCAATTGTACACCAGTTTTGCTGCCTCGGGGTGAATTTTTTCGATAAATATGCCACTGATCGTTCTTTCCCATCTGGATAAGTTTCCAATAATACTGCACCGATCCCCATTTTTGAAGCATCCGTTTGGATTTGATATCTCAACTGATTGTTCGGGAGATGTAGGACGAGATCCGTCGTCAATATATGTTTTAACTCATTGAGTGAGTTTTCTTCTTCCTTCGTCAGTGTAATTGGTGTTATTTTTGAACTAGACTGTTTCTTCTTTGGAACAAATTTATACAATGGATTAGCTATTTTCGAAAATTGTGGAATGAATTTACGATAATATTCTACACCTTTGAGAAAACGGCACGCTTCTTCGGCAGTAGTGGGTGTTTGGATATTCAATAAACCACGTAAGTTGTCGGCATTTGGTCGGATGTTTCCTTCTTTAATATGATTCCGAGGAAGCCGATCTCCTCCTTGACAATTTCTGATTTGTCTACATTTAATCGAAAATCAGCCTTGTCCAATGTATCCAGTACGCGTTCCAAATGTATTATATGATCTTTCAATGTTCTTGAATAAATTATTATATCATTAATGTATGCTAATGCGTATCTCCATCTTGCTGGATCAAGAATTTTGTTAATAATACGCTGAAAGGATGGCGGTGGCATATCGGTAAATTGTAACTGTTTGTCTCTCGTTGGAAATGCCGTCTTTGTTTAATGGTATTTGAAATCTGCTTTATTTAATAGTATTTGAAAATAGCTAGATTTAAAGTTCAGTTTTGTGCATAGTTTTTGAATGAAAGATCATGTAGAGTGCGAGAATATCTTAAAGTCTTCGACGCACTTTTCTTTTTAATTTGAGATGTGTCACAGCTGTGGGAGTCTCGTCATTCGAAAATTATAATAGATACAAATGTAAACAATTAGTGACGGAATTTTCCTTCTGTAGTAGAGTTAGCTAGCCAAGCTTCTCTCAGCATTAGCCGAAACCTTATACTAGAAAAAGGTCAAACATTTATTTTCGTTGCAGTTATTAAATATATTTGTTCTAGTAGAACAATTAAAAATGTTCCGTATTTAGTCCAGTCGTTATGTACTCACTCAACTAAGCACGAAAGCATAATCAACAAAGTAGATTTAGTTTTTTATTATTTTCACATCATTAATTATGTATGAGTATCATCCATCAATCTACATTTTTCACGCTCATAGATTTTTGTATTCTCGTGTCTTATTTCGAAGAACACAAAATACTTTTATTATGTGTTCTCTAGTTTTGTATGTTGGGAAAATTCATGGGATTAGAACGTTGTCGTAAGCATGTGTTATAATCATGCTTCGCTAATCTTGAAAGTAGACCAAAAATGTTACTGCAGAGAAATGGAATAAATAGATAATTTTTTCCGTTCGATAAAACTATTTCTATCGTCAATTATATATATGTTTGTGCAATATTGTAACATAGAGAAATAACTCTGTCTTACGCCTCCATCCCGAGCTACCTGTATTAGTTTCCTAGTCTGATTCATTTTATGGACGTGGAACGGCAAAATTCGATAGTTAAATAACACATGCGTCATGTAGTTAACAGGAATGAAAAGGACACGAATTTTCCCACTAATATCAATAATGATTCTCCTTGTTAATAGAAAGAAAGAACGCGTTAAAAAGATTTTTCTACCAGAACGGGATGAGAAGTTATGTGGCCTTATGAGAAAACACCCATAAATACAGGCATATATATCATCGAATAGAAGATAACTTCATAAACTCGAGACTAACAAGACATGAACTGGAATTTAGCATCTCTTATGTGCTGCTGCATGATTATGTGTATTAATATTGCCACTGGTAAGAAACGTAGATAGTTAAGCAAGACAAATAATATCCCTCTTTAGGTTTAACGTGCGCGCCTGGCTACTGTCTTTCGAAACATGGCGACTGTGTTCAAGATGGAGAAGATTGTTTTGATTACGACGGAACAACAACAGCATCTACAACAAAAACTGGTGAGTACACGTTTCACGTAGCATTTTTCGAATGAATGCAGAATAAAACTTTACATAATTAGACGAAGAACCAGATGTGTTCGATGAGTTCGTCGGTGATAAGCGACGTGGGGCACATAGATCAGTTAGGCGAGGTTACTCATGAGGCAAAGTATGTGTTTTGCAATTAGCATTTAATATTTATTATTAAATTTTAGCCCAGCCAACATTAAATCCAAAAGATTATATATTCGATTTTTTGAATTCAAAAACGGGTCGAGCGAACGGAACCGGTGGTCAAGCCGTTGCAGCAACTGTAAGAACGATCTGTATACGGGAAAGTTTGCTCTTCATTCTAACACGAACATCTGTATTATATAGAGTCAGAATTTTCCGGCACTAATGTCTAATGGTATGGCAATGACCGTCGGATACATTGGTCCGTGTGGCATCAATTTACCGCACACTCATCCGCGTGCGACCGAAATGAACCTCATTCTTGAGGGTCAATTTCAGTCGGGCTTCTATGATTTCAACACAAAGTCATTCGTTATGAATGTAGTCAAAAAACACATGGTATCGTTATTTCCTCGTGGCGTCATCCATTTTGAACAGAATTTGGGTTGTCAGCCAGCCACATTCGTCGCTGTATTCAATTCAGATGTTCCTGGTGTTCTTACAATAGCTGACGGATTTTTTGGTCTACCAGCCGAAATTATTGGCGCCTCATTAGGCGATTTGAAAATACAATCAGTTGACGATCTGAGAAAATATCTACCAAAAAATCCCGCTCTCGGCATTGAGAGTTGTCGCCGACGTTGTCGTTTACCGTAATTATATGCAAATCCTGTAAACTTTCGAAAAGCTACGACATACATTACTAAGTTTTGTGTGTTCGACGAGAAGCAAAGCCAATCAGATTTTACAACTCTTACATGAAAAGTCTGTTGCTTCTCTTAGTTACTTATATTCTTTAGATTCACGTGTAAGTCGGGCTGTATTGCCATTTTCCCATTGTCAAAACAAATAAATGTTCTGTATTCATGCTTTGCATATGGTAGTTAAGACAATCACGGTAAATTTGCTCATTTATTAGAAGATGCACAATTAGCAAATTACTGTCGATTTTATATCATAAAAGTCGAATATTTTTGATGATTTCAAATAATCTGTATCTCGGAATAAAATGTAAATTATACATGCATAATTTCTGATTGAATATATCGTTCAATAAATTATTTACCGTTCAACAACTCTGCATTATTTTCCAAATATTGGCGATAATCGCTCACATGATTTGAAATCATAAATAATCGCTGAACTATCGGTCGGTCGTTCAAGTGGACCTTTCACTTCAAGTCCACAAGTCTACCAGTTCGGTTTCACAGCGAAAACTTCCTAAGTAGTAAATGGCGTTACGGACGACTCAATATAGGGAACCGCTTACTTTAACGGACTGATTGATTTAATCAAGGTTTGCATAGCTCAATGTTTTCAAGTCTAAAGATCCATGTGTACCCTAATCTACATTTATGATATATTCATTTCAGAACATGTAGAGTGCGAGAACATCTTAAAGCCTTCAACACACTTTCTTTTTAATTTGAGATGTGTCACAACTGTGGGAATCTCGCCATTCGAAAACTATAATAGACACAAAATGCAGAATACCGATAACGGAATTTTCTCTGGTAGCAGAGTGCGCTGACCGAGTCCAGAAGTGATATTTGATAGCTCTGTTATAGATCAGAATTGATTCTGAGTTTGTGAAAAACTCGATTCAGAATTCTGTTTGAAATCAAAAAAATTCTAAATTTTCACATATGTAACATCATCAGAATAGTCAAAAATGATATCATAGGCTTCTGTCTCTTTCTTGTTTGTTCTGTACTTTTTTCTCAGTCACAATAAATATGGCTTAAACCAATTCTAAATTTTTATTCAAACTTTAAATCATTTCATAGAATAATATCATCAATAATCCAACGAGAATGGCATTATCTACTCTTCTTCATGCATATATCAAATGATATTTCTAACAGTGCATTATTGACTAAAAACAACACATGATGCGAACAATATACCATAAGTATTTTTGTTAGTATGAATTTTATCAACAAAATCAAATGAATCTTTGAAATATGCTCGAGCATATTCCTTGGCCGGTCGATAACATACATCATCAGATGCTGTTTTTGAAGCTGATCACAAGTATCGGATCCAGCATCGGAGCATGCCGGAAGTTGTCAGAGTTCGGTAAAATGCGGCAGCAACCGTGTCGGATTACACCGAAAATCCGTTGCTCGGAATCCGTGCCGGATGGAGAAAATCGACTTTCTTTGGAACGAAGCGAAAAAAGGCCAGGTCATTTTCGACTAAGTCTCGATTTTTTCGTCCAAATTTAATGGAAATACGCGACATAAGGCGCGATTGACACCATACCTTTATACGATCAATATTTTCCAGACAGACTGCCAGGCCACGTAACGCGAGACTTCGCTGATCAAGTTTTGGATCAGCTGATTTAAATACATCGTTAGATGCAAATTGTCACCCTGATTATGAATTTGATGTTGATTTTTGGAAAAGCTGGATTTTTTCCTTAAAAACCGAATTTTAAACTTTTCAAAAATCATATTTTAAAGTTCCCGATCAAGGGATTTTCCAAAAATATTTTAAAACATATGGTTCGATAGAGCATTCAATTCTCAACAAACTGGCGTATTTATTTTTGACTTTCGTATCTAGCGATGACTTCTATATAATTGTACAGTTGCCAATTTACAGTACAGTTTTTGATCTCCCGTTTTGACCTAGCAATTTCGTTCTTGCGCAGAACGATTAGATATACAAAAGAGACCAAAATGTATGAAAATCTAATTTTTTCGAGTATGTTTAGTAGTCCAAAATAATCGGACAAAATAGTCTGTCACAGCGTCACGCTTACTTTTTTCGATTTCTAGGCGACGAAACGTTGCTACAGGAAAATTCTTTTTAACATTCGATAGCACACTCCGTGTTCTACAAACTTCGCTCTGGAGACTTTTCGTTTATTCGGCTGCGTTCACAGCAAATTGCATTTTACGTAGTAGCACTCGAAAAAAACGGCCTTTTTATGTGCACAGTGTCACGGCCTATAAAAGTAGTCTCCTGCCTCTAAATTTCGCTCAAGCATTCTGATTTTTTTACGGCAAGTAAAGTAAGGTGAGCCGCGTAGAATAATGCAAGAACGAGATTTTTATCTTTTTTAGTTTTGGAGAAAGGGGCGAATTAATGCGTCAAAAATGTCACAGCGTCACGTTTGGACAAGCCGCGCCCATGTCGTTAAAATCGCTCCATTCTAAACGATTATTTCCTATTAGAAATGAAATCACCAATTATTCGCAATTCTGACTATAATTGTCCATAAGTTGCGATATATCGCCGATTTTTAACAACTGGCGACTAATCGGCTTGCATGGAAAATCGCCATATATGACAAATATACGATATATCCGCATTCTTAAAGAATTTTTCTGTTTTTTTAATAATGGCCAATTAATGGCGATTAACTGTTGATTTTAAACCATTAAATGGTTTTTTGTTATTCGCCGTTTTGTTCTGCAGTAGAGTAAATATATAAGAAACATGATTCCAACGGAATCAGATATTTGATATTCACATCCTTAGACATTGAGCTTGTATGTCAGTTTTGTACAAGGGTAATGATTACATCGAAAACATTTTTTATTTTCTATTGAATGGATAAATTATCTTTCTCTTCATAAGTTCTTCTATTACTAAAGAGCCATGAGAAACACAAACGTTTTGTGAAGCGTCATAATGAGACAGGTGCTGGTGAATAGGCCAGCATATTAAAAGGAACTTATCAAACTTTAACTGTAAAGTGACGGAAATTCAAAAAAAATGCACCTATCAACAATAATATTTTTACTTTTTCATCTTGTCACTATTATAAATAAACAAAGTTCACATATAGATACAAACAAATGAAACGAAACAAAACCGTGTACTTGTCGATTTTAATAATTTTTTTTGTAATATTGTTTTTCATCGTCATTGTTGTTCATCATCCGTCAAATGCCTTGTCAATCGGACTTAGAAATTTTCTACACGCAGATTGACAAAGCTTTCTAACATGTTCTGTAATTTTATGACAGCGTTGTTTTATCAAATTTTATAATTTTTTCTTTTTCCTTGAGGTTATAATGAAAACTAAGAAAATATTTAATTCCATCTATTTTCGGATCGAATGAGAAGCCACATACATCTTGCCGCCTTGTTTCAGTATTTTCGAAAGATACACGCCTATTGCAGATCACGCAGGCACTAAAAACTTTTTGGAATCATATACCTTGTATGATATCTTCGACTTCTCCAATATATCACTGGAAACCATACATTTTGAAGCTCATATGAAAATAAATCATGAATTAAATATACTAAACTATTTTAAATAAATTTGAGTTATGAACGAAAACAACAATTAGTTTGTCAATGATAATCGATATAGTGAAGCGCGTGCAAAATATGAACGTGAATTTCAAAATTATATTTAATCTATAAACTGGTTTTCAGCAATTATTCAGAGATCAATCAAATGGTTAGCTGATTTGTCGAGGACGTTTTTTTTTATAAAATTATGAAATTTGATAAAACAACGCTGTCATAAAATTACAGAACATGTTAGAAAGCTTTGTCAATCTGCGTGTAGAAAATTTCTAAGTCCGATT